CTATTTTGTCTATTAAACAAATGTTCACAATGATGACAATTTAATTCTATTTTTTTTGTCAAAATACTCGTGATTCTACGTAAGTTCTCTAATGATTTTATTTATGCTTCTTGACGACATGTATCTAAATATTTAACAAATGCAGAATACATCTATGAAACAGTACCAAAAAGAAAAAGCCAACGAGCTTGTCTCTTAATTAAGAATAATAAACTTTTTTTCGATAAATGTTCACTTCTGAAGATAATGTTAACAAAAGTCAGCTCATGAGTAAAAAAAATTCATAACATTGTCATTCATTTCGAGATATAAGATTAATAAAGTTGCTTCATTATTAAAAATAAAAATCGATCATGTATGCAAAAACAAAAAATATTAACAGATGAATTTGTAAATAATTGAGAGAAAGTTTTTCAATAATCGAAAGAGGATTATTCGCATTTTTATATAATATAAAAATTGTTTAGAAGAAACTATAAGGATAAACTCAAATAAAAAAAAGAAACAAATTTTCATTGAGTATCAATTGTCTTCAGTAGTGAACATTTATCGAAAAAAAAGTTTATTATTCTTAATTAATTAAGAGATAAGCTCGTTGGCTTTTTCTTTTCGGTACTGTTTCATAGATATATTCTGCATTTGTTAAATATTTAGATACATGTCGTCAAGAAGCATAAATAAAATCATTAGAGAACATACGTAGAATTCCGAGTATTTTGACAAAAAAAATAGAATTAAATTGTCATCATTGTGAACATTTGTTTAATGGACAATATAGTCAGTTGATTTTTCCAAACTACTTAATTAGATCACAAGATACAATGCATTAAAATGACACTATTTAGGCTTTTGCACATACATGTATATCAAGATTTTTCAGTTGTAGGTATTAGATATTTCTTTCAAGAAAAAAATTCACGTACAATTGCACAATAGCCTTATCCTTATTAGTAACAGTTAATAATCACAAATTATATTATGTAGACAATTGAAAGTTCATATTTTATTTTTAATATAATTTATATAAAATGTTTAAAAAAAATTTTCTAATGCCTCAATTCCAATAAATTTTGATAGATACCATTTTCTTTACTTCTGGAAATTGGAGTTCATCAATCAATAATAAGATAAATTCTTTCTGTAACTTGTTTTAAATATCTTCAATAGAGTTGTTACAAAACTGTTTCCTATTAATTGATTAAAATTAAGTATGTCATGCTCTTTTACAAAGTAAAATTTCATCTTCTGATTGAAGCTATACGCAAAAACAATCATCAACTTAAACAATCGATTGATGATAATCTGTATGTTCTACAATCAATATGCACAATTATTTTCCTAATAGTTTTGTTAAAATTCTATAAAGAGTTCTAAATTGAAAATTTCAATATGAAAGTTAAGAAAATTCATCAGATTCTTATCATCTTATCGACTACTCACTTCGATGAGGTTATATATATTCGTATTAGTACGACAAAGATAGTTACTAAATACTTCTACAATTTCTTCATTTGCTTTTTCCTCTAATTGTATTTCTACAGTTCCACATACGTGTACAATACCAAGATAAAATATTGAGATGAACAATAATAAAATTGAGAACAATCATCATCAATTCATATTCTTTACGATTATTATATTCGAGCCTAAAACAACATATGCAAACATTCTACTGATGAATGGTAATAGCTTATGGAATAATCGACTCACCCATTTGACAAATCATCACCAAAAGGATCATGAACCGAAGAATCTATTAAACAATAGTTCAATGTTTATACGTTAATTGTTTTTAAAAAAGTGTCTACAGCTCAATTAATTGAGAGTGCTTTGTAAAACCTACTCGAAAAACAATATGCAATTAATGAAGTCGAAGAAAAAAACTTTGCTGTCAGCCATTAACATCAATATCTAGTTTTAGTATCATAACTAGTATTTATAGTTTGCTAATAAACTATGGCTTAATTAACTAATTAGAACTAAAAATAGCAGACTTGAAGTATTATGTGCCGCGGATCATCGTCAAGTTTTGCCTCAGCAACAATCCAACAATTAGCAAAAAAGTACATTTTAGACTTCATAGTAACTACAGCTTTGGCTTACTCCAATCAAATGTATCATAATTAGCAAATATTCAAAAAGTATAATAAGCCTATGAAACAACTCGAAAAAAAAAAGAGTTATTAGATGATGACAATGATGAATATAATGTTCAGTTATACAAGTTGAACAGATAGTCACCATATAGAGTATGTTGTATTAGTTTCCTAGTAGAATCGCGGATTTTTGATTTGGGTAATGTGACTTTGGCTGTAGAGTGTGGATATGGATTTATAAACTACTGAATACGTGCAGATGAGGTAGCAAAAATTTTAAAGTAAAACACATTTTCACAAGACTAAGGGTGCGTCAATAGTTTACTGTCATTTAAAATATTTTGTGAGAGAATCGCATAGAAAACGCATCGATTATCTTTTGAAAAACATAGTTGATACTTGACAGTGATTCGATGCTGTTATATAACAGAAAGAAAATTAAAGAAAAAATTTACTACACGCAAAAGCTACACAGGACCATATGCGAGTAGCACTTTGTATGTTGTTACTGAAATTTTCATTCGTCTGTTGACAGAAGGAAAGAAAAGCAACGCGTCGTAATGATGACTATCGTTGTAGAGACAAATCTGTCTAAAAAAAAATAAATAGTGTCCGCATCAAAACGATGACTTTATATTTGCTTATCTGTGTCATAGAGCAATTCTTTGTAATCATCGTTACGTGTACAGAGGTAAGATGGTTTTTCTTCACAAAAACTTATTATGTTGTGAGACAATGACATTCATGTTCTATCAATAGAAATGGCGTCAGGATTGGAATCGAATCTATGTTCGACCTGTCAGAAGAGTGCAGGAAAATGCACTTGTCATGGATGTAAAAAGTACTTTTGCATCAAGCATTTCGATCAACACCGTCAACAGCTATCGATAAAATTTGATGATGAGGTTGTGAGAGCTCACGATGAACTTCTCGAACAAATGAATAGAGTAAATCAAACCAATGCTCCTTCATTGAATCTTTTCGATGATATTAATCGATGGGAAGCTGTAGCATTGGAAAAAGTTCATAAAGCAGCTGAACGAGCCCGTCAACACCTTACTCAATTGCTCACTGGAGAGAAAGATACGTTAATGAAAGAGTTTGGAATAATGACAAAAGAAATTCGTGATCGACGAGAAGAAGTTGATTTTGATGAAAATGATATTGAGCGACTTCAAAAAAAAATCAATCAGATGCAAATATCATTACAACAAGTTATACAACCAACAAAAACGAAAGCTATCATAATGAAGAACGATCAAATCGATTGGAATCGACTCATCTGTGTCGAAAAAGAAGGTAGCAGAATCAGTGAGCGAATTGAAAGCAATATTCAATCGAATACCTGAGCTAGCTGAGCTGTCAAGTAATCTTAGATAAGCTTTCTCTCGCTTTAGTGTGAAAATTTTCCAATATTGACAGATGTTTGAAAGAAACTTTTTTATGAAGCTCTCGTTTTATCGAAATCTAAGAAAGTTTTTATAAATTCATTTGACTTACTTTCTTATCGTTTTGTATAACAATTAATCTACATGTCGAACCAAATTCATATTCAATATTGAAAACTAAACTTCTTGAATTTTTTATTTGAGTGTTGACACCCCACCTACATATCCTCAAGTAAAAAAACATTGAATGAGAATTTTCAAATTTTTCTTGTTGTTTATAATTATATAAAACTCTAAAATAATTTTCTTAATTTTGATTTCAAAATTTTTATTCGAAATTTGATCAGAATGGGAAAAAATCTATCTAATGATTTTTATTAAACAATCGATGAATCTTTCTCAATTAACATTTTCATACAATTTCAATAAGCAAACGATTTTTTTCGAACTTCTACAATAATTGGAACCTATTAAATCAAATAAACGATTCGATAGTACGGATTTTCTTTTTTTTTTCTTTATTAATTTCAATTCGATGTGAAATAATGAATATTTTGTTTGAAAAATTCTTCTAAATGTCTACATTGTACGTAATCTTAAATTGATATACTCTTCATTTTGAAGAAAATTTAATTGATAATTGTTAAAACTATTTCACAATTGAAAAAGTTATTGATTTTTCATTTTAAAATTGTTTCCTTAGGACAATCAATTCAATTAAAAAAATAGTCGATTTTACTTGATTTATTGAGTAGATTAAAACTTTAAAAAAAAATTCTTTTCAGTGTATAATCACTAAATCGTCGATTGTGAGCAAAAAGTGGTCGTTATTGAAAGTTTTATAAAAGAAAATGAAATAATTCGTTTTATATGTTTCGTCATATAAACTTAATAAATATTGTTGAACTTGATCATAAGAAAAAAAATTAAAAAAAATATCAAAATCATTATTGAACGTCAACTTCATGAAGAATTGAGTTACCTATTGAAAATTGATTTCGTTCAAAATTTACTTATTTCACTCGACGAGAATTGAAATTTTAAACTGTTTATTTAGCCTTTTAAAAATTATATAAAAGAATGTAAATAAGTTTTCTGTAGTTTTCAAATGAAAAGTTCACTTTTGACAAAGTTTAATAAAAGTCCGAATTCAATCTATGAAAAGCCTACAAATTAAATTTGAATTATTTTTGTAAACTCATGATTTAATATATTAAAAATATGATTCATCAATATGATGAAAAGAAATTTTTAACAACCCACAATCTAATCACATCGTCCTATTTAGATGAGAAAATAAGAAAAAAAAGGACAAAAATGAGGTGTACCCATTTGTTCATTCTTACATTTAAAAATCCATTATGTTGTTTTTCAATAGTAATTTAATTTCAATAAAATAGAAATTATCATATTTAAATATATTGTAATTTAATACGATTAAATCAACATGTTCGAAGAGATTAAAAAATATCAGAATGAATAGAACACTAGTGCCCACGTTTGCACTCTTCAGTTAAATTAGTCTATATTTCTATTTCACATCTTTGTTTTACTTTAGCACCATTACGTTCAAGTTCAATTGATATTTATTCGAATGCAAAATGGACACAAAATGGTATCACTGTGGCTGGAGGAAATGGCCAAGGCGGTGCTGTCAATCAACTATCTCAGCCAGTCGGTTTATTTATTGATGATGATCAAACTGTTTATGTTGCTGATTGTTCGAATCATCGTATTGTGGCGTGGAAATGTGGTGCGACAAATGGCGAAGTAGTTGCTGGTGGAAATGGAATAGGAAATGAAGCTAATAAACTTAATCGTCCATACGATGTGATCGTCGACAAAGAGAGAGATAGTCTCATCATCTGTGACTTTGAGAATAAAAGAGTAGTTCGATGGCCTCGTCGAAATGGTACTAGTGGAAAAACAATTATTTCAAACATAGATTGCTACAATTGCACCATAGATGAGAATGGATTTCTTTATGTAGTAGATTTTAGAAATCATGTAGTGAGACGATATCAAATTGGTGACACTAAAGGCATAGTTGTTGCAGGTGGCAATGGACAAGGAGATAGTCTCAATCAACTCTCTTGCCCCCACTACGTATTCATCGATCGAGATCATTCAGTATATGTCTCTGATAAAGGAAACCATCGTGTGATGAAATGGGAAGAAGGCGCAAAGCAAGGCATAATCGTAGCTGGTGGTCAGGGACCAGGAGCTGGTCTTACACAATTGTCATCTCCTCTTGGAATTGTTGTTGATCAATTGAGCAGTGTCTATGTGGTTGATCATGGGAATAATCGAATTATGCGTTGGCCAAAAGGTGCCTCACAGGGTAGTGTCATTGCTGGTGACAACGGTTGTGGAGCGCAGATGAATCAATTCAATGGTCCCTTTAGCTTATCCTTCGATCGGCATGGTAATCTTTATATCACCGATTTCCGCAATCATCGAGTACAAAAATTTAATATCAATTCAAATTCATAGCTTTATGTTGTTATTGTTGACAGCTGAACGTTTTTTGACAGAAGACGAAAGCTTTGTTTCTTCTTCTTTTTGTAAAAGTATTTTATTTTTGTAAAGAAGAAAAATAAAAAGAATCAATTTTAATGAAAGAATCCTCGCCCCGCCCCCCCCCTCCCCCCCCCCACCAACAAAAAAAAAACAAAAATACATATA